CAGACTGTTCTGCGTGACCTTGAGGATGTCTATTCTTCCATTGTTGGATGTAGTAGTCTGTAGATGTCAATTACACCCAGTTGACTGATGGTGTTGTTGAATTCAACTGTGTCCTCGCCCATTTTCTGCCCGTTGGATCTGTCCATTTCTGGTAGAGGGGTCTTGAAGCCTCCAGCTAAAGTAGGGGCCTCATCTATTTTTCCTTGCCATTCTAGTTTTTGCCTCATACTTTTCAACTCTGTTGTTAGATGCGTATATGTTAAAGATTATTATGTCTTCTTGGAGAGTTAACCCCTTCAATATTATGTAATGCCCCTTTTTGTCACCGATAACTGTCCTTGAAGTCTGTTCTGCTTGAAATTAATAAAGCTACCTCCCCTTTCTTTTGATTAGTGTTAGCCTGGTATCATGTCCTTTTAATCTGCATATGTCTTTAAAGTGGGTTTCTTACAGCCCACATATAGTTGCATCTTGCTCTTTGATCCAATCTGGCAATCCCTGTCTTTTAATATTTAGGTCATTGATAGTCAAAATGATTAGTGAATAGTTGAATTAATATTTATCATATTTGTTGTGTTTTCTAATTGTTGCCCATGTTCTCTGTCCTTGTCTTCCAATCTTTTTCTTTCCCATCATTTGTAGTTTTATTTTTTTTTTTAAGATTTTATTTATTTACCTGAAAGAGTGAATGAGAGAGCAAGGTCAGGCAGGGGCAGAGGGAGAAGGAGAAGCAGACTCCCCCTGAGCAGAGAGCCTGATTCAGGGCTCGATGCCACGACCCTGAGATCATGACCTGAGCCATAGGCAGACGACCAACCGATTGAGCCACCCAAGCACCCCTTGTTTAGAGTTTTAATTGAGCATTTTATATGATTTCATTTTCTCTCTTCTCTTAGCATATCACTTACACTTTTTTTTTTTAAACTTTTTCTAGGGGTTACCCTAGAACTTGCAGTATATGTTTACATATAATCAAAGATGACTTTCAAATGGCACTGTTCCACTTTATGGATAGTGTGAGTACCTTGTAATAACAAAATAATCATAATTTCTTCTTCCTACCCCTTGTATCATTGCTGATATTTATATCACTTATATACAAGTGTATGTATATAGTAAGCATACATTTTTGAATACATTGTTGTGTTACTATTTTGAAGAAACTTTCTGTTAGATCAATTAAGATTAAGATAAATAAAAGTTTTTATTTTACCTTTACTTCTCCATTCTCCAGTACTCTAACTTTATTTATGTGGATCAAGTTTCTGACTTTATCTTATTTTAATATTTCTTGTAAGACAGATCTTACTGGTAACAGATTCCTTCAATTTTTGTTTGCTTCAGAAAGTTTGTTTCTCCATTTTTGAAGGATACTTTTACAGGGTACAGAATTCTGGGTTGGTGATTTTTTTTCTTTTCTTTTAGCCCTGTGAATACTTTATTCCATTCTCTTCTTGTTTACACGGTTTCTGAGAAATTAGGTTCTTATCTTTACTCTTCTATATTTTATTTTGTTTATATCTCTGGCTTCTTTCAGTATTTTTTCTTTAACTTTGGTTTTTTTGTAGTTTGAACATGATAGGTGTAGTTTATTTGGGATTACTCCTATTTGGTATTCCTTGAGCTCTCTGGATCTGTCTTGGTGTTCGACATCCTGTTAGGGAAATTGTCAGATATTATTGTTTCAAATATTTCTTCAGTTCTTTTATCTCTTTTCATCTTCTCATGTACCCATTATGTGTACATTACACCATTTGTTGTCCCACAGTCCTTGGATATTCTGTTCTGTCTTCATCAGTCTTCTTTCCTGCCTGCTTTTTAGTTTTAGAGGTTTCTTTGGAAATATCCCTAAGCTCAGGACTTTCCTCAGCTGTGTTTGGTCTCCTACTACACCCATCAGATGCATTTTTCTGTTGCAGTGATTTGACCTCTAGCATTTCTTTGTTGGTTCTTTCTGAGAATTTTCATCTCTCTGCTTACATTGCCCATCTCCTCTTGCATGCTGTCTACTTCATCCAGTAGAGCCCTGAGCATGCATGTCAGAGTAGTTTTAAATGCTCAGTCTGATAATTCCAGCATCCTTGCCATATCCGAGTCTGGTTCTGATGCTTGCTCTGTCACTTTAGACTGTGTTTTTTTTTTTTTTTTTTTTTTTTTTTTTTTTTGCCTCTTGGTGTGTCTTGTTTTTTTCTTCCTTCATAGCTGGACAGGAATGGGTCCAAGGTACTACTGTAAATAGGCCTTTATTAATGTTTTGGTAGGGTGTGGGGGGGGTCATTCTAGAATCCTGTGACTAGGTGTCAGTCTGTTAGTGAGCCTCTCTGCTCCTGGACTGAACTTCACCAGTGTTTTTCCCCCCAACGCTCTTAGGTGGGAAACGATGATTGAAGTGGGCTGGGTTTGGGTATGTCCTTTCTCTGATATGGAAGGCTGTAGGGGGCAGGTCGGGGTATTGCCCTTCCCCTGGGTGGCTTAGTCTCTGGTAATACCCCAACAGGTTTGGCTCTGGGTAACTGGTTTCCCCTGGAGGCAGGCCTTGGGAAGAAGAATCGAATGATGTGGGGTATTTTGAAATGGTTCCTTTTCCCCTCTTCCTGTGAAGCCTGGGTTTTTCTCTGATACTCACTGTAGTACGAAGTCAAGTGCCTGAGGAGAAAACTCAGAAAAGTGGATGCCCCTGGACATTTTAACTCTACTTGTCTATTGTGAGTTTCCAGCAGTACATTAATTCCAGTCCTAGTTTCCCTGCCCTGGGCCTGGTTCTTAGGGGGGGGGGGGTTCTGCTTGTGGGTTTCTGCTCCAATAAGTTTGTGATTCTCTGCCTTCTTTCCAGTTTGCGGGGCAGTGGTTTGCCTATGACCTCCTGTCTCTTACAGATTAAGAAGAGTTGTTGTGTTTTCAGTTTGTACAGCATTTCATTTGTTGTTAGGATGAAGTGGAGACTTCTGAGATTCTTACATGCTGGACTAGAAATTGGAAGTCCCCCTTATGTGTTTTTAATTTCTTTTTTTCCCTCCTAACAAGGAGGCTACTTTTATTGCCATTTTACAAAGAAACCAGGGCATTGACAGGTGAAGTCACTTGCCCAAAGTTCCCCCAGCTAATAAGTGGTGAAACCAGGGTTTGAACCTAGGGACTGGGAGCCCTGAGTCTGTACTCCTAGTCACTGTCTTAGGGGAGCAGAAACTCGGGAGTACAGAGGTCTAGTTTGGATGGCCACCTCTGCCCCTGGGGGGGTCGTGTGACCTTGGGCAGCTTCTCAAATGCCTCATGGGGTGTGGTATGTAGAGTGCAGCACTCTGCATGAATAAGTTCTTCAGAAATGGTCACTATTGTTGCTATTATTATATATTGGTATAAGGAGACTGCATTTTGGGGCGGCTTATTCGTTTACTATGGCATGAGGAGCATTTGGTGCAGTGCTGAGCTCCTAATAGGTAGGTGGACAGTAAATGGTGGGAATTTGTTCTATAAATTGAAGCAGTCATGGACTATTAACATCCTCCAGAACACACACAGCACAGCCCAATACCTTTCCTTGCAGTCACAGCTCCTGCATTTCTTATGGGCTTGTAAAGTTTGTTAATAATACCAATTGCACTTTGAAGCTCATTGTGGGTGTTTCTCTGCTTGGTAAGTTTGTACCGACACTGCCTCACTTGGTTGTCTTTCCTATTGGGGACACTGAGTGTGGGAGCAAACTCACACACAAAGCTGTGTGCCGTCTGGTAGTCTCTCCCAGGTGTGGATCACCTGTAGCACAGATAGAGTCCAGCTACAGCCCTTTCCCTTGGTCAGCTCACCCGTGTTAGTGCCTAGAGCCCCTGGACCGCCAAGTGGCATAAACAACGATGTTTATGGTCTCACAGTTCTGGAGGCCAGGATTCCAAGATCAAGGTGTCAGCAGGGTTATTTCCTCCTGAGGGCCATGAGAGAGAGTCTCTTCTTTGCTTCTCTCCTAGCTTCTGGTGTTTGCCAGCAATCTTTGTTGTTTCTTGGCTTGCAGATTCATCACCTGGATTTCTGCCTCCTTATTCACATGGCATCCCCCCCCCGTATGCGTGTCTGTGTCCAAATTTCCTTTTTTTTTTTAAAAATAAGGACACCAGTCATGTAGGAGTTAAGTCTCCCCTAAGGACTTCATCTTCACTAATTGCATCTGCAATGACCCTGTTTCTAGCTCAGGTCTCATCCTGAAGTACTACTGGGGGTTAGAGCTTCAATATATGAATTTTGCAGGGGACACAGTTTAACCCATAACACCCACCCTTTGGGGAAAATTGGCATATGAAATAGCCCTACAATGAGCTGAAGGAACAGGCAAATGGGTAGAAGCTAGCTTGATGATTCACAAGAGCTGCTCCCGTGGTGGGATGTAGCATGGCAGTTAGCCAGACCTGTGAGGCCAGGCGCAGTGTAGAGCAAACACCTTACCTGCAGCCTCAGTGGGACACAGGCCTTGGGAGTAGTAGGAGCAGCCTGGAGTGGGCGTCTTGGGTCCAAAGGTCGGCTCCTCCTCTCAATGACTTGGCCTCATTTCTTAATCTGTAATGTGAGCATCATAATGCCTGCCAATTGAAAGTGATTGTGAGTCTCAGTAAAGTAACTTCTGTGAAACCCCCCACACACCACGCAGAGAGCATTGGAGGACATAATACACGTCGGGTCGTGGAGCGCCGCTGGTCTGTGTGGTAGACCTCGAGGCGGAGCCCTGCCCTCTGCTGGCCTGCCCACCTCCACCGGACCGTCATGTGTAAGCCCCATCCCTCCCTTCTGAAATGGAGCCAGTACCATTCCCCAACACTCCAGAGCTCCCCAGGTGTGTGGGCCAGGTGCAGGTGGCATGTCACGTGTTTGCAGAGGTGCACTGTGGTCTAGCTGTGGTGGCGGTGGTGGCAATGGTGGCCGTGGTGGGGGAGGTGGTGGTGATGGTGGTGGTTTTTTCATGGAGCCCAGGGTTAAATGAGACACTCCATTGATTGTACTCTCTTTCTGTTAAGGATAAAAGGAGTTATTCTTGTCCAGTGTGTGAAAAGTCTTTTTCAGAAGACCGACTGATAAAGTCGCACATCAAGACCAACCATCCCGGTAAGGTTATGCATTTTGGAGAGGAGATTAATTTTAAACTGCTTATGTTTGTTTTAAAAACTCAGCATTATATATCAACTGCACGAAATGGAAATGAAGGGGGATGAAAGTATGAGTGAATTTAGGGAAACAATTACCTTTATTTAATGGTGGGGAGTTGTTGTAATTATTCACTTCATTTTATCCCTTCATCTGGTCTTCTGATGCATGTTCCCACACTCCCATCTCCCCCTCCCTTTTAATGTCCTAGTACCTTCGGATGGGTCACTTACAAGCAGGTCTGACCTAGACTCAGCTGCCTGGGTGCCTGTGAAAAGTTTGTTGCCCGTCATGGTGGTCTGTGAGGAGCCGTGCTGAGTTGGAGTGACCGTCACCTCGGGTCTCCCCACGCTGGTCTCTTCACACTCAGAGGTGTGAAGCACGAGCCATTCATACCTGTCACACCTGTTTTCTCCACCTGGGACCCATTTCCTCCCCTCTGCTCAATTACTTCCTGTTTATTCTCTGTGTTTTTCCTGGGAGTCCCATCCTTGGGGAGGATTTGGGGACTCCCGGCTGGGAGCAGGGCTCCCCCCATACCCCAATCTTGGTGCACTGACCCCTTGTGTTCTGGTCATTGGCACTTCCCTGACCCCTGTGAGGGCCGTGGGGAAGGCTGTTAAGGGTTAAGGCCCATCCGCAGATCCCTGGTGTCATATGGGGCAGGCCCGAGAGCATAGATGCAGGTGCTGTGTATGGTATGAAGGAGGAATAGGTAAGGTGGGTGCGCTTTTCCCTTCATCCATGTGTCTTTTATATCTGCCCCTGTGTTAGGGCATTGACTCACTGGGATCATAAATGATACTAGAGAAAAGTAAAGAAATAACGGAGTTCACCAACACTCATGTTTTATCTGGGAACAGGTAGAGCCTTAAGGCCTTCATCTGTGTGGGAACACGTGGGTTATGGGATTCTCTGATGGCCTCATTCTACCTTTCCTGTTCCAGCCTGTGTCCAGTGTGAGCCGAGGATGCTTGTTCAGATTGGACAGCCTTTGCTCATGAACATTTGTGAGGTGTTGTCTTTGGTCTAAACTTCACATATATACAACACACAGGATAATATGAGGAACCCCCAGGTATCCTCAACAGCTCAGCTTCTGTACTTGTGAGCATTTTGTCAGACTTGTTTTATGGATTGACCTTCAAAAGTTTTTGTTCTGGAATATCTTTTTTTTTTTTTAAGATTTTATTTATTTGCGAGAGAGAGAGAGAGCAAGCAAGCAAGAGGAGAGGCAGAGGCAGAGGGAGAAGCAGACTCTCTGCTGAGCAGGGAGCCTGATACAGGACTCGATCCCAGGACCCCAGGATCATGACCTGAGCCAAAGGGAGACGCTCAACCACTGAGCTACCCAGGTGTCCCATGTTCTAGAATATCTTAAAGTATGTCTCACACGTATGTAACTTCCTCATAAAAGAACGTTGGATGCATCTCCAACTAATCGGTGTCTTTTGTAACATAACCACCAGGTCACATTAAAACAAACAATTAATAGTAATTCGTTATTTCCATTACTATTACCTAGGATTAGTTCATTTAAGATTTCCTCAGTCAATACAAGATTGTTTGAATCAGGACCCAGACATTTTGCCTTTAGTTGTTATGTCAATTGAGTTTCTTAAATTCCGTGGGTCACCCCACTCCACTTTTGTTCTCGTGACAGTGACTTATTGGAAGGGACTGAATTGCTTTTCCTGTAGGTGATTTCATGTCCTGCATTTGTCTGATGGTGCCTCACGGTATTGTTTCTCCATCCCTCACATTTTATGCTTATGGATATTTAGATCTGAGACTTGATTAGATTCCGGTTTAATTTTTAGGCAAAAATCCTACCACATGACTCCAGGGGGCACATCTTGATTGGTCACCTGAGTGCTGCTGGGGTTGGCCAGGGCATCCAGGCAGTCTCCTATGTCTCTCGGGAGCCTATCCTCTTTGGCTTCTGATGGACCCCCCTGCTTTTCTTCCAGAGGTGTCCATGAGCACTATTTCTGAGGTTCTCGGGAGGAGGGTTCAGCTGAAAGGTCTGATTGGGAAGCGAGCCATGAAGTGCCCGTACTGTGATTTCTATTTCATGAAGAATGGCTCAGATCTCCAGCGTCATATCTGGGCTCACGAAGGTGAGTACTCATCTTTCAGGGTGGAGCACCCTTTAGTTTTGTGCTTCCATGCTTCATGTGGGGAGTACTTTAGGAGGAAGCTGTATTGCCTTGTGCCTTATAGTTAGACTTCTCCAGCTTACTGAGAAATGTGTCCACCAGCCAGCTAAGCTCAGTGATTTTAGTCACTGCCTGTTGAGTTGCTAACACAGTGAGCAGAAGTATGCAGTTGTATAGCGTCCGTTGGAAATGTAGTGAAAATATAGTGAAGTGTAGTGAAATAAATTCCCATGTCTGTGCTAGACAGTGAGCTTCAGAGAACAGCACCATCTTCATCACCTTGGTAATTGGTGCCCGCTGCAAGGTGCTGGCACGGTAGGTGCTGAGGAAGTGTTGGTGTTACAGGTGAACAAAGGTGAAGAGGACAGCAGAGAGGCCTCTAGTCCAGCATCGTGGAGGAAGAATCCAGAAGGCAAGAGAGTTGCATGGAGATGAAGTAGCAGAAAGAGGAAGATAGGCTGTGATTTTGGGGTGCTTGCTTGTGAAGGGAAGCTTGGGGAGCACACTCTGGGAATTTGGGCAGTTGGAGGTCAGGAGGCTGCTGGAGATAGCAGGCTACCAACTTTGCTTCCCACTGTAAGGATGTGGCTCTCCTGGGGTTGCAGTGCAGAGCCAGGAGCCTGGGGAGCCAGTCCGGACTCGTGCCGAGGTGAGTTAGGAAGCTGGCATGCCGCAGGCAGGAATACAAGAGGGTTCCTGGAGAGGGTTTCGACAGCGAGGAATAGAAACACCTGTTCTCAGGCCTTGGGGATGCACCATGAGGAAGGGAGAGGTGAGCAGTTCAGTACTTGATGGCATAGGGACCCAGACAGGATGGCAGGAGTGGAGCTCAGAGCCCAGGCGGAAGGTACTGTTTATTTACCACCATGCATGCACCTGCGCTCTGGACTCTGGTCATACCCCATAGCCTTGTTGAAGCCTTGGCTTCCTTAACCAAAGTCTTGGGTCTTGTAGACAAAGTCTGAAAATGCTGAGCACACCGTGTGTCACATCCCCCACCCTGTGCTCAGTGTCAGTCACAGCATCCTTCTCCCTGTGCATGTTGCGCTAGGTGTCATGGCCTTTTGCTTCACATTCCCCCCTGGACGGCGGCCGCAGGGGCCCTGGCTTCTCAGCCTTAGAGCCCCTCAGTGTGTGCTCCAGAGTAGGTCTGCAGTGCGCGTTTGTCTAGTGGAGGGGGAGCAGCCACAGTTCAAGCCATTAGCCCAACAACAGCCAGCGTCCTAAGGCTCTGCTCAGTTTATGAAAATGTGCTCTTGTGTCTGATCCTAGGTATCCAATCCCATTGATTTCTTTTTTTTTAAAGATTTTATTTATTCATTCATTTTTTTAAAAAAATTTTTTATTTATTTATGATAGTCACAGTGAGAGAGAGAGAGAGAGAGGCAGAGACACAGGCAGAGGGAGAAGCAGGCTCCATGCACCGGGAGCCTGACGTGGGATTCGATCCCGGGTCTCCAGGATCGCGCCCTGGGCCAAAGGCAGGCGCCAAACCGCTGTGCCACCCAGGGATCCCTTATTTATTCATTCATGAGAGACATCTAAAGAGAGAGAGACAGAGACACAGGCAGAGGGAGAAGCAGGCCCCATGCAGGGAGCCCGACATGGTACTCGATCCTGGATCTCTAGGATCACGCCTTGGGCAGGCACTAAACCGCTGAGGCACCCAGGGATCCCCCGATCCCATTGATTTCTGCACAGATCCACATTTACTTTAATTCTGGTCAACTTAACTTCGTTCTATTGAATTTAATGAACATGTGCTACAGAAACTGCTTGGAGTCTGTGCCCAAGAGGAATTCCTGGACTATGGGGAGAGGCAGGTGTGGATGACCTGCACTGTGCTATAGCAGTTCTGATAGAGAATTCCAGGAGATGGGGATACATGGGGACACAGAGAGGGAAGCAAGGGGACTGGCTTGGGCCAATCAGAGAAGGCCACATGCTGGAGGCCGTGGCAGGACAGGCACGGCAGTTGGAAGGAATGGCGTGGATGAGAGCATGGCAAAGCATGTGTGCAGTGTGTTCAGGAAGGCATGTGCCCTGTTTTGTTCAACAGGGATATGCACGTATGTTCTTGGGACACATACGCATATGCACACATAGAAGTAGGTGTGTGTGTGTATGTGTGATTTTGTTATACATGGATCTGTTTTTCCTCCTCCTCTGGTAGGTGTGAAACCCTTCAAATGTTCTTTGTGCGAGTATGCAACTCGAAGCAAGAGTAACCTCAAGGCTCATATGAATCGTCATAGCACTGAGAAAACTCACCTGTGTGACATGTGTGGCAAGAAATTCAAATCAAAAGGGACGTTGAAAAGTCATAAGCTCCTTCACACTGCTGACGGTAAGTAAATAACTCCATACCATAGTGCGTTGTTTTTTTTTTAACTCTCTTGAAAGTGAGACGTGAAGCTGACGTTTCAAGTCCAGCAGAAGCAGTGGATGTGTCTGCAGGCCAGAAAGAGCGGGGTCTTCTAGAATTTCGATTCTGATCAAGGGCAAAACTCCCCGTGCTCAGGACTGGAGCCGTGTCTGACCTCCACTGTGCATGGGTGGGTGGATGGGGAGGGGATGCTGCTCCAGGGAGTAAGGCGCCCTCAGGAGGCCTTGACCTGAAAGTTGCAATCCTCTTCAGACCTCCAGCCCCACCTGAGCCTGAGGGGCATTCTGATCACACCTGACCTGAGGCTTCCAAGTGGATGCTTGTCATCCAAGCAACTTCAGGGTTTGATATTCAGGCCAAAATGGGGCTCAGTTTAAAATACCAACAATACTTGGGCAAATTTGACCTTGATGAAGTACACTTACGTTGATCTCTAATTTCATTCACTTGTAAGGAACCATTGATTGAGTTCTTACTATGTCCCAGACATGCCTGGGGTATAGGGTAGGTAAGGAACAGTTGCTGCCACCAAGGAGTCTATATCCCAGTGGGGAGGAAGAGAAGCATGCAGGCCGGGCTAAAGGTGGGTGCTGTGATGGAAGGGGGCTTGGCAGCCCTGGGGAGAAGGAGAGGTGGTGGGCAGTGGTCACAGTGGCCAAGAAAGTCCCTGAGATGAGCAGAATAGAGGGAAGAAAAGCAGAATTGTTTTAAGAAGACAGGCAGCTAAACCATAAGAGGCCTTTAATGTTTTTAATTTTCTTTTAAAAACCCCAATTGTGGGAAGGTCTTGTCAGTATTCTATGTAATGAGATTAATAAACCATATTCATAAATAAAACAACCAGATGGCTGTTTTAGAACAATTATATACAAAAATTGGAATTCACCCTAAAAATCAAGAGTGATTGCAACAATTATTTTTGATTTCCGAACTTATGGGATGACATAGCCTTTAGGTCCTGCCTTTATTTTAAAAATGTTCTAAGGAATCCATCCTGTTGTGTGTGGGTGAGCTTGAAGGGCTTGTGGGGAGGCCACAGGCTTAGCTCGGCTTCATTAGACTTGAAGATCCAGGGCTTGCCTAGGCTGAATGAAGTCCAGGGCCATAACTATGCAGATTTAAGCAGTGTGCCGTAAATAAGAAAATCCATAAGCAAAATAATTAAAAACGCAGTGACAGTAAAGCAGTTTTGCCCTGAGTAATGAAAGCATTAAATCATGTAATTATTCATGAATTCTGTACCTTCGGAAACAATACGCCTTCCTGGTATTTCTTGACGTGGAAGCACACGAGTCACAGAATCCTGAAAAATACAGTGCCACTGTATTTTTACAATACAAACCACTAATGACAAGTGGCTGTCCTCAGCGCTGGAGGCCTAGGGTGTCCCCTGGGCTATGGTGGCTGGGGCGCTGTGGCTCAACGCCTGGCCCAGAGGTCTGGGTTCTGGCCTGAAAGGATTCACGGAGATGGGGTGTGTGTCTAATCAGGGGCCATGGACCGACCGTAGTTGGATGTGGAGGGGAGGGCTGGGGCGGGGGTGGGAGCAGCAGTATCATGGCGGGCATGGCAGTGGGCAGTGACACATGCCGCCTGTCACTTCGCTCCCTGAGCTCTTTTTTTTTTTTTTTTTTTTTTGTTTATGATAGTTAGAGAGAGAGAGAGAGAGAGAGAGAGAGAGAGAGAGAGGCAGAGACACAGGCAGAGGGAGAAGCAGGCTCCATGCACCGGGAGCCCAACATGGGATTCGATCCCGGGTCTCCAGGATCGCGCCCTGGGCCAAAGGCAGGCGCCAAACCGCTGCGCCACCCAGGGATCCCTCCCTGAGCTCTTCAGCAGGAGAGGGAATTCGGATGGGCAAAGATGGTGTGTACTTAAAGCGTTAAGACAATCTTCTGGAAGGGGGAAGGCCTTGTAGGCATTATGAAATATTTTGTGACAAAACAGGAAATTTGGATTATTTTCTCTTCTCTCTCGCTCTCTCTTTTTGTTTTTCTGACATTTTAGGGAGTTTGAGGTATTTGTAAAGTCATGTGTTGTTTTCAGACACTCACCAGTCTGGGAAGAAGGGCATCATGCCTTAGGTGCGGTGAGAACATGACCGGAATGGAGGGGCCTGCTGCCTCGGCGCGCCACCCTTCCACCCCATGTGGGCTTGAGTTTGGCAGGGCAGGATAAAGACACGACACCTTGACACCCCCTGGGTCTCTCTCGACCATGCTGTGATGAGGCCCAGTGTAGCTTCACCCGGTCTAACTCAGGGGTGGCCCCTATTTCCCCACGGTTACAAGGACTCACCATGGTCTCATGTTTTCTCCAAGGCCAGCTTGATACGTGGTGTGCCCGACCACAGCCTGGGTGTCCCAGCTCCAGGGACGGTCTGCTCTGCAACTGGAATCAAACGACAGGTCTACCTTTTTCCTTTCAGTTTTAAAAAAAGCTTTGAAAAAAGTTGAGTTCCATCTCCTACCCACTTTTTTGGTGCACTCACAATTTTATTTGGATGGTTCCTAAAAGCTTTTTGTATCTCAGTGGTTTGTCATACTGTGCACGTATTTCCCTCTAACTCAACATTTGCCTTTACGTTTTGTTAGCCACATGTTTTTATATACAGAAGTTTAAATAAGCTTGCTTGCTTATTTATTTATTTATTATTTAGATTTTATTTGTTTATTCATGAGAGACACAGAGAGAGGCAGAGACACAGGCAGAGGGAGAAGCAGGCTCCATGCAGGGAGCCCGACATGGGACTCGATCCCGGGTCTCCAGGATAATCCTGGGCCGAAGGCAGGCTCTAAACCGCTGGGTTTCCCCAGGGATCCCCACCTTGAATATTTATACTTACAAGTTTTATCCTTTATTTTTTTCTCTGTTGAAAGAAACCTCCCTCATCTTAGGGGAAACTTCTTTTGTAATTTCTTCAAGTTTTATTTTTGTAGTTTATAACATTTAACAATAGTTAATGTAGTTTATAACATTAAACAATATTCTTGAAATTTATTTTGGTGTGTGGTGTGTGGTAGGGATCTTACTATTTTTTTTTTAAACAATTTTCAGTTAACTCAACATATTATAGAGAAATCAGTCCTTTTCATTTTATTTTGGAATGCCGGTCTCTGAAGATGCTGGGCACGTTCTGAGATTTTGGTCTGTTTCAACAATCTCTGTTTCTAGTATGTTGTTTTATTAGGTGCTATTTCTATATCTGATTTTATTACACACACGTATGTTACTCTTTTTTCTTTTCTATGAACGTCTCTTAGTTTTTCTCATTTGGTTATTATTCCTTTGGATAAATTTTGAAACTGCTTGGTCAAGATAAGAAAAATACCTTCCAAAAAAAAAAAAAGAAAAGAAAAACACCTTCCTCTCCACCAAAGGAGGACACTCTCTCCTGCCCCAGGGACGCCCCCGTGAACCATGTGACAACATCACACGTCCTCGAGTTCCTCAGGAAAAAGTGCTGCTACTCAGGGCTTGGTTGCCTCGATGAGGCTGTTAGCCTGGAAGCATAGAATTAGCTCTTTACTTGGAAGCAAACATTGCTTTAAAACCTGCCTGGGATGACTTGGTTTTTACTGTATCTGTTGTATCTGTTGTATCAGTAGTGATTCCACAGCTGGTCCCCTGGAGAAGCTGTGTGGGGTAGGTAGAGCTACGATGGAGGCCTGAGTTTTGAGTCTTGCTTGCCTCTGCCTCGTAGGGTGTGCTTGGTCAGGTCACTTTTCTGAGCCTCAGTTTCCTTCTCAGTAAAACAGGGATCATGATAGCCCTGTGTCTTCTGGGCTGGAGGGTCAAATACCAGAAAGTGCCTCCTGCTCACCTGGGCCCCACCTGCCCTTCTGGCTGTTTCTTCTGGGGCCGCCTTAGCTCTGACCTCCTGCCCTCAAAGCCCACACACTCCTAGGTTGACGTCTCCCCGGCCTGCCCATGCTTGCACACTGTTTCTGTGGAAGGCTTCCCAGCTTCTGTTTCCAGCTCTGACTGCCCGCTCAGCATCTTCACCTGCACGTCTAGAAGGCATCTAAGCCTATGCGACACTTCAGCTCCTCATCTGCCCCTGACTTGCGTCTCCTGCCAGCCAGGGGTCCCCAGACGCGGAACAAACACAGTAAAGGTTTTAGACTTGGAGTGCCATGTTTGGTTCCTGCCGTATATTCTTCTTTTTGATTTGTTTTGTTTTCTTCCCACAAAACTTAAAAGCTCTCAAAGCCATTCTGAACTCCCAGCTGTGCAGAAACAGACTGGATTTGGCCCGGAGACCAGAGTTGGATGACCCCTGACATACCCGTGTCGGTCACTGGCCACTCCTTGTGGTTCACTTGGGTCAGAAACCTCAGGTCATTCCTGACTGTCTCATTCACACCCTGCCAACGGCCCATTAGCAACTTCTGTGTGTGTTTTCCCTCAGTTTCCCTTTCTGGCACCTTCGTGGTGTTGTGTTTGTCCACCTCATGCGTCCTTTCTTGCTGTGGCCACCTGATGCTCTCCCTGTCTTTGGTCTTACCCCCGCAGTCAGCTCCTGGACAGTGGCCAAGCCACAGCCCGGCTGATCCTCGCTCTCAGCCCCCCATCTCCACCCATCTCTTCTGCTCTCCCCTGACCATCCTCTTTCTAGACACTTCCATCCCCTTCCTGTTCTCATACCTGCCAGGTCCCTGCCCTTTTGGGCATTTGCCTTCCTTCTGCTGCCATGCTCTTCCCACCGAGTCCCTTACAGCCCACCAGCCCTCCGCATCATCCAGACCCCGTGAGTCCCTTAGGTGTCTCTTCCTGCCTTCTCTGTCTCGAGCGTCCTGTGTGGTTTGTGTCTGCCATGGGACTTCTCCCCAGTACCTTCAGGCTTTCTTCCATCTTTTTTACTGTTTCTCCTTAGACTTCTGTGTTCTGTGCATTATCATTTCCTTGTTCATGACTTTCCATGTCTTCCACAAGACTGTGAGCTCCCCAGGCAGGGACTT